TTTAAGAGAATGAAACATCTTTTAGCATGACATGTATTATCAAATACTTTACATTTTGGATAAATGTACTCATACTTGTTGAAAGTAAACAAGAAAAGTAGCTTATGACAATTGCTCGCTAATATTCATGTATTTTCTATCTTGAATAATTTAAAATAAAGAATTGGAGAAAATAGGTTGGCTGTTTGGGGAGGAGGAGGAGGTCGAAATACATGTATAAAAAACACATTTAATGCTCTAAGATTGTGCAAACTTGACGCTGTTATTGGTCAGGGAAAAATGGTTTTGGTCAGGGAAAAGTCATGGAAGAGTCAGGGAATTTTGATTTCTCTTCTTTGTGGGAACCCTGTATATAAATTAAGTGACCCCTATGGCGGGGCAAATGTTTGACCCAAGGGGTATGATTTATATAACTTGTTTAGCTCTTGTGACCTCTTATGTATCAGACTAAAACCAGTTATTTTTTGTAGAGGAGAACCTCATTCTTATTCCTGTGAAGGGCGATAAAATCCATCGAGTGGTTAAGTAAGATATACTGTTTAAAATTGTTTTAAACAAAGACCGACGACGGACACACTGTCAGCTCAGGTGAGCTTATACTTGACAATGTTAAAGTTACTAGACGGGAAAGGGAACGGACGAAGATTTTAGCAATAGCTCGGTTTGATGTCCCGTAAAAATCGAGCTAAAATACACCAGAGAACCACTACTGCAAGTCACTTCTGAAAAGAAGATTATGGATGGACTCGACCTGTCAAGTTTTATGTACTTGTGACTAACTGTGTGAGACGTTTGTAACAAAATGTTGTATTCATGCCAGTCATTGAAAATACTTTTGATACATATATGCTTTCATTTTCCTCATTTTCTTACATACAGTTAAACATTAATTTTACTTGGTCAATATCGATCTAACTTCTCACGAATTGTCTTTTAATGAAGCCTTGTAACATTCATTAAAACAATAACCTTGCAAAGGTTAAATCATTTAAAAAAATTGAAGGACACAAAAATAGGAATTTTATGAAAGGCTCTATACTTAAGACGTGTACCTTAATTGACGCCGCTTTTTTGGGACACCTCTTATAAATTCCCAGACATATAAGAACACGAGGGCCATGATTTTTCATCTGATATTCATGCTAAAAAGGGTAAAACTAATAATAAAGTCGCATTGGGCTTGTCATTTTTCTCTAGGCTACATAAGTTTTAAAGTAATTGTAGATGCTCTACAAAATGCTTCATGACAAATATCTAAGCTCTTGGCATCGCAATTTCACACAAGAAGACTTAATTAATTAGATGTTTATCTTTGTAAGTCTTTATAAACTTTGTGTGTCCCAAGGTGGACCACTTTTGATCCAAGGGCATGATTTATTCAACTGTGTAGAGGATCACAAGGCGATTCTTCATTCTATATAGCTGTGGCCATTGAACTTTGAGAGGAAAAAGTTTAAGACATTTTTGTTAACAAGTCTATGGACTTAGTGACTTCTATGAAGGGCAGGGCCATTTTTGACCCCAAGGAAATGACTTATTAAAATATTACTTTTGTAGAAATCCACTTGGCAATGTAACATGCCGAATACCTGTAGTTTTGCAAAAGAAGGCTGAAATTTATTTTCCTTTTCAAGTCTATATAAACTAAGTGAACCCCGGGGCAAGAAAAATTTTGTCGCCAGGGGCATGACTGATATTCCTTTAATATAAAACAACAAGGAGATGTTATATGCAAAATACCTAAACTCTTGGAATTGTAATAAAAAGGCAGATTTCTGAGACAGTTTACTATTATACAAGTCTACGTACAATAACTAACCTAAACGGCGAGCCTATTTTTCACTCCTAGGGTTTGAGTTATGTACCTTTTGTAGAGGTCTATTAAGCAAAGTCCAAATTAAATATCTAAGCTCTTGGTATAGTTTTTTATGAAAGAAGATATAAATACATGTTCCTTTATTAAGTGACCCCCGGGTGGAGCTTTTTTTCGACCCCATGAAAATGATTGACATTAATTATGTAAAAAGCCATAAGATGATGCTTCATGCCAAATATCTCAGCTCTGAGCATTGTAACATCATAGTAGAATTATTTTTTTATTGTTTAATTTTTACGATACAATTCTATATAAATTAAGTGATTCCCGGGTTGCATCCAATTTAGACCCTCAGTGGCATGATTCATTAAAATTATAAAGAGATCCAATTGCCAATACCACAAGCAAAATATTTAAGTTCTTTGCATTGCAGTTTCATAGAAAAAATTTTGTTATAATTTCCTATATGATGACTACACTGTGATGTTACATGTCTAATATTTAATATTTAAAGTAAATTTTTAGAAAGTTTTTTTAAAAGATTTATTTTTCCAAAATTGCATATATATTTCATTAAACATTTCATTATGTGTTGTTTCCCTTTTATTATTTAACTCATGAGCTGGATTATGTCATAGCAAGGGAAATGCTTTGAAGAAAAGCTATGACATCGTGGGGCAATGCCAATTTTGATCAAAGGCTATAATTTGAAAAGTCTTTATAAAAATAAAAATATAAATGCTTTTTGTTTTAGATGAGAAAATTTTACAATTTATATCTATTATTCCTGTGGTGACATACAAAAATACAGTGTAGGTCTAAATGACAGAACAGAGAGAAACGGGTTTTTTTTGCATGTAACCAAATTAAGTGGACGTTTACTCCAAATGAAAGACTATTACGCAAGGTAGTTTCGACCTCGCTCTGGTGTCTCATAATTTCAAATATACCTAGTTCAAAGAATCTCCACAAGACCAAAGAGCAAAGATATTGAAAATATAGGATGACCTACTGAACTGTTTCCAAAATAATGCAAAGTATGACCCAATGGTATAATAAGATTTGTCATTGAAATATCTTACTATCAATAATTTTATCGGACCAATATCTTGATATATCAAGTATGTATAGACATTGAATAAACTTCTTCTCTTAATTGGAGTTTAAGGTGCCTGCGACCAACGAAGGGATATAGATTATTGTTATCTTTATATGATTATAAATGCCAGCAAAACATGAGATGAAAACAGTTGCAAACAATACATCAGGTAAACGATAAAAGGAAAATTGTTCTCTAATTGACATTACGCCGCCTGTCAACCAAGCTGGCATAAGCCAATCTGCGATGTTATCAGTTCCACGCTAAGGTGCCTGCGAAGTCCACCATTTTCCTTAGACAAGCTACTTGTCTTAGACAATGGAGCAGAAGTAATTTATATTAAAATTATTTTAATTTTCTGCCGATTTAAAGTTTTTTTATTTATATAATTAATTATATATTAAGTTACCAAATATACTGACATATTGACAGATCGAGTAAGTTAGTTTATTATACAAAAAGTCAATTATAATAAGTACGAAAAATTTATCTTGGCTATAACAAATGCATTGAAAAAGGAAAAGGTTTAAACAAATCCACTTTTTTATTTCCATTCTACCTTTTCATAATCACATTACTTATTATAAGGTCCTTAAATATCCAGAAGATATGACATTTTATGTTTATAACGTATAGCGTCAATAAAAACGCAGCCGTAAAAATGCAAATATTATGAGTAAATATAAAAAAAAAATTGTGTTTTGTAGTCAATCATATCAAATGTATATTTACAAAACATAATCATATATCATAAAATTTTAGCAAGGGCATGCAATTTTCTGAATCAATTTTTGACAATTCATGAACAAATTAAACTGAATTTCACCCCTAAAACCCGAAAAATGATTTTAAATTTTATTTGTGTCAATAGTATAATTTTACTGTTTTTGTTTCGCCACTTCAATGTCAAAATAAAACGATCATAACATAATCATACACTTTTCTACATATAGCCCTTCTTTGCATTTGAAAGATATAATGATATTTTGTCAGTTTTAATTTTTCATTTAAGAAATAACTTGATCTTTGCAAAACGCTTCATGCGTCATTAGTTAGTGAATGCAGATATTGTTGTTTTTTAACTTTTTTAAATCACCAAAATACATTTATACATTGAATAATAGATCTTCTATTCAATAAAACCATTAAAAACATCAAAATTTTATATATACAAAATTTAATTAAGGTAAATTCATTGGTAACATAAGTGGCATAACAGTTTTGCGAAAACAATGGTACTATACTTTGTATAAGGTTCTTACTGACCGGGTCATATGAATCAGTGGGCGGAGCGATCCTTTCTCTGGCGTAATGTCAATTACAGAAGTAATTGATTAACAATTATTTTATATGTGAAAACAAAATATTGCAAAATACCTTTGGGCTTGCTTTGATTCCTGTGCTGAATCATCTGAAAATAAATGCAAGAAATAAATTGTTTGATTGAAAATTTCACAAAGAACTAAATGTTAGAAAAAACATTGAAATTAATGACCAAATTATAATTACTTCTTTAGAAGACAACAAAAAAGCAAACAAAGACTCTTGTTTGAAGTATTTATCTATTTGTTTTGATGTCAATTTTGGAGTAAAATTTGTTTATTACTTGTATTGCTAATGTTTAATGCAAAGATAAAAATAAAGTTACTAACGTGTTTTATATGTTCCAGTTAATAAATATCACATTAGACTTAACATTAATCAAATTTCCTATTGTAAATAACACTGCTTTTCGTTACCTTGATCTTTATTCGTAAAGATCGATTCTTAAGATTTTGTTCAGGATACAAAAGCGATCCTCCCCTTAATTCCTAAGATTTGTATTATTTTATCCCAGACATCAAGCGTCAGTCAAATAATTGTACATTGTATTGTGTGTCAGTTGGCTTTGATATTGTTAAACAAACTCAATCAGTGCAAGCGTATATGTGTGTGTTCATGTTTGTTTATACAAATGAACCTGTCGGTCATTACGCATGATTAATCAGAAATTTGTAATAAACAAACTTTGACCTTATAATTTCTATTTTTGAAGAGTTAAATGCAGATTACATCATTATACGAGCATGTCAAAGCCATACACACCTGTATTTGAAGAGCTTGGGTTCTCGGGTGGGGGAGATACTGGCTCTTCTTTCACAACCACATTGACAAAAGCCTTATCTGGTAACCTTACTCTGTGATTCAGTAGAGCATGGCTGGAAATATTCTTTACAACCTTTTGGAAGAAACTTGATTCACAGGTAACTATCACATTCAGCAGTCCTTTGATTACAGCTGCATAGATTATATCAAATTTGTTAAGCCAAGCCTCGACAAAGAAAGTATTATACTTGTATTTGCCTGCAAATTCGTCAATGACAATAACACTGACTTTTCCAAGTGTTACTTGTTTCCAGTCACTGGCCTCTGTAAGAATAACGCATTCATCTTTGCTGTAAAGTGATGAAACCAATTTCAATGCAAATCTTGTGGATGTACCACCTTTTGATCCTGTAATAACAATCGCTTTATGTTTCTTAAACTTTTGCCGCGCTTGTTCCATCAGGTCGTTATTGTCAGAAGCGTCTGTTTTGCAGTCTTGAATGAATACTTCCGATTGTGCTGAAGAATGAATATGAAATGTATAAAGATTGAACAAATGAAAATAATATTTCAACTTTTTTCTTAGAACTTTTTTCAATGAAACATTATTAAACAAGATATGTTACTAATGTTATACATCAAAACATACCTATCATATTTCCAAAAACGCCACCAACATCATGTCTCTTATCTGTTATGTTTCCTGAAAAAGTACCAATTTGTTGAATGAAGTACGTCTTCGTTATTCAAATATCCCTTTTTCTGGCTTTGTTATTTCATGAAAGCCGTGCTCTTGTATACTGTGAAAATGTTGTTTTTGTGCTTTCTTAAATTTACCAAAGGAAATATTAGTGCTTTAACACATGTTAGAGATAATATTTAATATTTCAGTAAATTATGACATTATGTGGGTTCATTAAGTAACTATAACTCTCGGAGAGTAATACTACATCTATAAAATTAAAACAAGCTTCAAAAGCCTAATGCAACCAACGGTCTTTCACTACATCCAAGATGCCATTCTTCTTTTCAAACTTGAAGAGTAAACTTAAACGTCTTTCTATTTCGAAAAACAGGATATGATTTTTCTTTCAATTCTTGTAAAAAATTTCAGAAGTGTGAACCAATGCGTATTGTATGAGAAAAAATGTCAAATGCACTGAAAATTTGTCACGGTCCGTTACTACTTGCTAGGTGATTATATGAGTAGGTTTATCATAATAAACATAGCTATAGAACAATTGTAGTTAAAAAATGCTGCTGCCTTCAATGCAATTTCTTTATTGAAGAACGCGTTAGGTTTTCTATCTCCAAACCCGTTAATACCTTCCTGAAAGACAAAGACACTGAGGATCATTAAACATCATTACAAGAGCCACCGCTAGGTGGTGGCAAAGCTCGACAATTTTTTCTAAAAGCAAACAATTAAGAGGTTTAAACAAATTTTTAAAAGAAAATTAAAGATAAACAATTAGTCTTTCTCTTTTTTTTTAAATTCCATTCTTTTGAATATCAAAAGGGGTAGATCTACTCACACATGTTGTTTTGTTCAAGTATAAATCATTTCCACCATGTTCAATGATCAATTGACCAACTTTCTTGTCCTTTGATGAACAGCTATGAAAGTTGGACCATGCAAATAGTTTTAGATGTAAAATTGATCTTTGATATCACCTGACCTAGAGTTTGACAAAGTGGTCTGCTTTATTGTCCTTTGATCTACAGCTATGAAATTTGGACCATGTGCACAGTTTTAGATGTTAATTTGAAATTTGATATATCAGCTGAGCTTGACAGTAAAGATGATTTAATGCTCAAGGTCAAGGTCAGTTAAACTTTTTAGAAGGTCTTGTCCCTAAGGTTGCTTTGTTGAAGTACGAAGATAATCCATTCATTTATTACCAAGTTATAGTCAATTATAGCAAAAATCTGTGAAAATTCAATAACTTAACCTTCTAGAGGTCAAGGTCATAAATGAGCCAAGGTCAATTTGAGTTTGATATACATGAAGGTTTTATATTAAACAATGTTGAGTCTTAATATGAAGTCAATCCATTCATGAAAAACAAAGTTATAGCCAGTTACAGCAAAAAACAATTTTTAATAAATTTATTTGACCTTCAAGGTCAAGGTCATTTATGAGTAAAGTTCAAGGTCTTCTGGTTAACTTAAAGGTATATTCTAGAGGATTTTTGTGTACCAGTTTGAAGACAATTTATTCAAAAATGATAAAGTTATAGTCACTTATAGCAAAACTCAGCGAAATCAAAGCACAATTTTGACATTTGACCTTGAAGGTCAAGATCATTTACTAATGAAGGTCAAGTTTAGTCTGGTTTACTTGAATGTCTTGTCCCAAGGGTTGCTGTGGTCAAATATGAAGACATACACTAAGCACTTTAAAAGTTATGATCAAGGTTAAAGTTTTCAGGGCGCCAACGGGAACGCCGACATAACTGTAACAATACCTCATTTTTTTCTTCGAAAAAAGAGGTCCAGCAAAAAATTACGTTTTTCAAGATTCAGTGGGTTGTTTTCATCAGTTGGCATAAACAACTCAACAACGTTTTTGAAGATCTCATTATCGTCATGATTCTCCTTCCAATGGTTGACCTTTGAGTTTTCGGAGACTATCACAACATCGATTCTAAATTCCTTGCTTGGCATCTTACATGAATCTTGCATGCTTTGGAATATGCGACGTAAGCGGCACTCATTCTGTTGCTCTACGAAAGGTTCGGTGAATAAAACAAGATCTGTTTCGTTTGGATCGATACTATTCCAGTCATCAACTGTTTTCAATTCAAAGCATCTATCTAAAGGGTATTTCTCCGACCTAATAATCGCCGATAAAACTGTTGCTAGGTAACTGGTGTTTTCGGAGCCAGTGACTACAACACAGTGGTTTTCTTGAAGGATACGCAGTATTTCACGTTCTTCCGGTTGACATTTAAAATCTTCTGGTAATTCCCTTTCTATAGTTTGCCTAAAATAATCTAAAAAAAAAATAATGAAACATATGCAAAGTCATCATAGTTTCAAAAATAAATAATAAGATAAACAACAAACAATAAATAGATAAAATAACAAGGGGGCTATGGTCCTTAAAGCGTTCACCTGAATACATTATACAATAGGGGCAAAATTTGAACAACTATGGTAGACTAAGAGGACCTATAAATGATATTATATACCAAATACCTAAGCTTTTCAGACCAGATGTTTTTTTTTAGTTTTTACTACATACATATAAGGAAAACCTATGACCGCGAGGCGGGGCAAATTTTTACCCAGGGCTATAATTGGAAAATCTTGGTAGAGTTCTACTACACAATGTTTCATGCCAAATATATAACCTCTAGCCTTCATCCATTCTAAAGAGAAGATTTTTTAAAGTTTTTACTATTATATATACATACAAAGGAAACCTACCGGGGGAAGGCCAATTTTGACTTCAGGGCTATAATTTGAACAAAATTTGTAGAGTTCCAACACACAATGATTCATTCAAAATATCAAACCTCTAGCCTATTAATTCAGAGGAGAAGATTTTTAAGTTTTTACTGTACGTACATATAAGGGAAACCTATGAATCCCGGGGCGAGGCTAATTTTGACCCCAGGGCTATAATTTGAACAATTTTGGTAGAGGTCCACTTCACAATGCTATATGCCAAATATCTAACCTCTAGCATTTGTCAATTCAGAGGAGAATATTTATAAAGTTTTTAGTATATACATAAAAGGCACATCTATAACCCCCTAGGCGGGGCCAATTTTGACACTAGGGGCAAAATTTGAACTAGAAATGTGTCATCATGCCACGGATGCCCCCGCATGCAACCAAAATTTCAGATGTTATAATATTTAGTTCCAAATTTGTTTGCACAAATTATTTTTTTCATTTTAAGTTGAAAGCCCTTAAAACTATTCAATGTTAACACAAACCATTTTCATACAATGTTCAAGGCACTGAAATTATTCCATCGTAAGCTTTTGTAAATTGCATATTGCATATTTGTAGCCAAAATAATGGCTACATACATTTCCACAAAAGTATGAGTGCTGAAACGGAAAGTTCAAAATTTTTCCAACATTTAGGAAAGATAAGTTTGTCCAAAATCATTGAACCACGACCAAATTCAAACTTAAACTGCTTATTCCTAAGATGTATCTATATTATTTTCAAAGTGAAAGGGATATAACTCTGCCAAAAAATCATCAAACCATGACCAAATTCCAGCTTGACCTGCCCATTCCTTTGACATAGCCATATGTCAAATTTGAGTTGAATATGTAACACTGTTTGGTAGGTAATGAACAGAAACTGTAAATTTCATATTATTTTCAAAGTGAAAGGGGCATTACTCTGCCAAAAATCTTTGAACCATGACCAAATTCGAACTTGGCCTGGGCATTTCAAAAACATATCCATATGTCAAATTTGAGTTGAATGTGTTGTACCGTTGGGGAGATAATAAACAGAAACTGAAAATTTCATATTATTTTAAAGTGAAGGGGCATAACTCTGCCAAAAATCATTGAACCATGACCAAATTCAAACTTGACCTGCGCATTTCTTTGACGTATCAAATGTCAAATTTGAGTTGAATGTGTTGTACCGTTGGAAACAGAAAATTTTATAGTTTTCAAAGTAAAAGGGGCATAACTCTGCCAAAAACCATCGAACTATGACCAAATTCGAACTTGACCTGTATTTTCTCATGACATATCCATATGTCAAGTTTGAGTTGAATGTGTTGTACCGTTGGGGAGATAATGAACGGAAACTGAAAATTTCATATTATTTTCAAAGTAAAAGGAGCATAACTGTGCCAAAAATCCTTGAACCATGACCAAATTCGAACTTGACCTGTATTTTCTCATGACATATCCATATGTCAAGTTTGAGTTAAATGTGTTGTACCGTTGGGGAGATAATGAACGGAAACTGAAAATTTCATATTATTTTCAAAGTAAAAGGAGCATTACTGTGCCAAAAATCCTTGAACCATGACCAAATTCGAACTTGACCTGTATTTTCTCATGACATATCCATATGTCAAGTTTCAGTTGAAAATGTTGTACCGTTGGGGAGATAATGAACGGAAACTGAAAATTTCATATTATTTTCAAAGTAAAAGGAGCATAACTGTGCCAAAAATCCTTGAACCATGACCAAATTCGAACTTGACCTGTATTTTCTCATGACATATCCATTACATGGCGGGGGCATAAAAACTTTGCTTGAAGCCCAAAAGATGATATCATATACCAAATATCACATTTCTGGGCTATGTACTTTCAGACAAGAAGTTTTTTAAGTTTGCATTTTTGAAACTCCTTTTCTTGCCCTGTGACCTTTTTATGCAACATATCGAAACCATTTGAACAACTTTAGCAGCAGACCACCCAATGATCATTCTTGTGACGTTGGTTACTGTGCAGTCATTGGTTTCAGAGGAGATGTTGTTTAAAGAAATTGTTGACGACACACAACGACGGACTGTGGGGAATCACAATAGCTCACGATGAGCACGTTGTGCTCATGTGAGTTTGTAAAGAATATTTTTTATCTTTCAAATTTTTTGAAGTCATAATAATGAAATATGTTCTGTTTAGTTTTAAAACGATAACAAACAAGTACATATATGAGAGTTAAGAAAAAGATCTTACAGCTGCATGCATTGAGATGTGGCAAATATTTTAAGAAAATCAAACAAAAGAAAAACTATTCAATTATCTTCAGTTAAGTTCTAAGAAATGCATGCAATCTAACTTAAGGTCAGATCGAAGCATTATTCATGGGATGATATTGTACTACTTCGCGATATAACAATACTTGTAACAATATTTTGCATATTTGTGCTTTGAATGAAAGAGAGTGAAAGTTTTGCTTACCTCTTAATTTGTTCACGCGTACGTCTACAGTTTTCAATACCTTTTTAGCTGGTGCCCCTGTAAGATGAAATTATGGACTTGTCATTATAATATATTACCAAAAATATGGTAAGAGACATTTTTAAATTATATTAATAATCAACATTCAAATGAAAGTTAAGATAGTTGACAAAGTTTTTATTTGTTTGGGTCGTCAGACCAAACAAATAATGGTAGCGAAATTTCAGACCCTGATGTTCTTATTTGCAAATGTCGAAAGTAGTCCAAACTCCTCGAAGCGGTTACTTCCCTTCATATGTACATTAACGCCGAAAAATTAACGGGAGATAACTGCCTAAAGACTGTCAAATGACAGGCGCATTAATATCGTAACGAAAAAATAGTTTCCGATTGGTCGAAGATTTCTAATATTGTGTTATTCTTATAGATATACATGTTTATATTCAGCTTCATGATAATTTACTTCAGTGTTAAACAACAGGTTTACCGTGAACAAAATATATCGAAATTAATAAGGGTTACAAACTCTAATTAAGGTATTCTTCAGGCTGTTATCTTATAATTCACCGTGGTCGAGGGGTATACACGCTCGCTCTAAAGCGAGCGAGAGGTCCGGAGTTCAAATCCCAGTTCAGGCAGTTCATGTCTTTTTTTTTAATTGATTAAGCCAAATAAACATTGAATTGAATATCAGTGTTGCAATTAGTATTATAGCCAATTTACTGTAGTTCTAACACTGGAAATAGAAGTTGGTGACACTTTACAAACAAATTGGTTTATAATCTCACAACCTTCACCTTTCTGACATTCTGAGACCCAAACAAATTCAGCGCATTCTGTGCTTTGATTGCTTTGAGTCGTAGTTCACGTAGTTATAAAGAAGTTAATGTAAAATTGTCAATGAAAGAAGTTGTACTGGCTAGTCCTGTAATCGAACAGACTATTTGACACCGCATTTGTAACTACTAGTAAATTAAAGTTACCTTTCGAAATAGGTCTTTTATGAGAAACACCTTGAAGGATCTGTAAAGATGATTCAGATGTTTCTTTGAGTTCTTTGATTTCGTTCTTAAGTTCAATTATGATATCTTCATACCAGCTTCTGAGTGTATCGCCTAGTCTTGGAAGATTATTGACCTTTACTGCTTGAATTTGATATGTTACTTCATTTTCAAACGTTGTTCCACCAACTATCAGTGCTAAAGTTTGTGTCGCAGTTTCAACATCGTTCCAATCTGAATCGAATTCGGCATCATCTGTGACAACGCTTCCCGGCTTGTGCTGCAGTTTGTTGCGTTTTTCACGAATTACTTTAATCAAACTATTTTCACCTTTCTTCATCTGATTCTCAAAAAGTCCAAGCAAGAGAGCTGATAGTAATGTAACGTCCCATTTTGTCTCGTCAGCCTTTGGATATATCAAATCATACTGATCTCTCCGTATAGATTTTTGAGGAAAGTTCATGAGTGTTTTAACATCTCTATGTCGGAATACCATATACTGGTCAAGCGTTGTGAAAGGGACACCTGGACTTGTATCAGAATTCGCTAAATCAAGGAAATACTTCCTCAAAGGTATTGGGCAAATGTCAGTAACAAGAGTAATTAATCTGTAGTCTTTGTCCTTTGAAGCCATGATCATTTATTAGGATTGATACTTTAAGTTGTCTCTTCTACAATATGTTTGATGACTCTAAAAATTTAAAAGCTTAATTATATAATTACACTTAAAATGAATACAGTCAAACGACACTTAAAATCAATAACTATAAACAAACATTGCTAAATTCAATATTAACAAGCGACGCTTACATTTAATACAAGGGACATCAGTGATGACATGTGTCGCCTCATGATAGCCAATTGCATGTTGCAGCTACTGCGTAGCAGGAGACACAAAAATCATTAACACTGCAAAATACATTTTTATTCACGGGCTTTAACTCGGCGAAAAATTCTTCAATAGGAAAACCCGTATAATATGCGCAATTACTTGAGCTACCAATCAATGCTGTAAAGCTTCATTGAAATTGCATTTGTGATATATGAGAAGTCCGTACAAATTCTAAAAATCAAAATCATTAAAGGGACATAATTCTGACAAAATCATTAAATCAAAAATGCTGATGAGATGCACAACAAAACAGTATTATTCATTCCTATAAAGTTTTAATGAAATTGTACAGTAGATTCTGAAGAGTAGTCCAAACATGTGGCTGTTGACTAAAAACACCTTTTTTCTTGAAGGGCCATAACTCGGCCAAAAACCATTCAAGCGGAAACCTATGATATATGTGTAAGTACTTGAGCTACCAATCAATCCTGTAAAGTTTCATTGAAATTGCATGAGTGGTTTAAGAGGAGTACTCCGGACAAACTTTATTAACACCTTTTTTATTCAAGGGCCATAACTCTGCAAAAATAGTTCAAGCGTAAAACCCGGGGAATATGCGCAAGTAATTGAGCTACCAATCAATCCTGTAAAGTTTAACAAGATAACATGAGTAGTATAAGAGAAGTAGTCAGGACAAAATATGAAAATTAAAATAATTAAAGGGCCATTACTCTGACAAAAATAATTAAACCAAAAACAAAAAAGGCAACGATACTTGTTACTGATCATTCCTGTAAAGTTTGGATACAATTGCACCAGTGGTTTCTTAAGAGTATTCCGGACAAGATTCTGTGTAGCTTGCAACGCACAAGACACCTTTTTTTATCAAAGTCCGCCCGTAAAACCCGTGTAATGTGAGCCAGTACTTGAGCTACAGATCAATCCTGTAAAGTTTCATTGAAATTGCTTCAGTGGTGTAAGAGAAGTAATCCGGACTTCTTGAAAAATAAAAATCATTAAAGGGCCATAACTCTGACAAAATCAGTAAACTGGAAAATTGGAAAATGCCGACGATATGCACAACTAGACTTGGTACTTATCATTCATGTAAAGTTTGGAAGAAATTGCACCAGTAGTTTCTGAGGAGTAGTCCTGACAAATTTTGTGACTGATGCACAGACGGACAGACGACGGAGAAGTGATCCCTATTCTCCGTAGAGGCGACACGATAAACAAAAGACGCTTGAAATTAATACAAACAAACGACGCATTTCGGAATGTATGTGAAATAATAAATATTTCAAAATCAAGGTAGCCCTGTATTGACACAGACACTTAGAGTGTAGACCCTAATCATTTTCGCCCTTGCATATTAAAAAAAAAACATTATTTTGTAAAAGGACTTGTCTGATTTTTTGCTTACATTAGTATGACAAGGATAAGTGTCTTACACTTGAACAAGTTTGGACAGAATTTCATAACATTTTGAAATAGTCAATTTTTACAAACGCTTCAATTTCCTGAAGATACCAAGCTTCGAAATGTAAACAAAACTGACCTTCATGAATTCCAAGCGTTTATTCAGTTTATGTTATCGCATGCCATTTCTTTCTGGTTTTAATCACACGGTGCATATCCATATCGGTACCGTCTTTGAAAATCTACGCAAACAGTACTCTTTGCACATGCACAGGCCATTCTCTGCCGATGGAAATTGCATTAATTACTACGGGGAAAGGACGTATGTCATGTGGTAAAGTAGTATTTGAAGTTGAATGATCTTAACCACTTATATGCCGTTTTACCCTTTTATCGAACTAAATATTTCTTTTTTTATATCCAAAAAAAAAATACCCATAAAAATTATTGTATTCTCGTACAAAACATGGAATCTGTAAGAGATATTCTACATACAACGAAACACTAGAATGGTTTATTCAAGTGAAGTTTTAAAATGTGCCCATTTTCGAATTACCGCAACTTCACAGTAAGCTACATAAAATTGACATGTCATACCTCGCCACCGCCCCGACATTTTTTCGGGCTTAAATGAACGAGTTATTTGATTATATATACAACATACATATAACATGTCGTCACCTTAGTGCAGTATTAAGTTAAGTCCTTCTAAATTAAATAGGAGTAAACCAGTTATTGCACTAAGGTGACGATGTGTTAATTTATTTCTTGCATATCAGACAGGATTATCTACCGTTTACACCGGTGCTAGACACTCAAGTCGCGTGCTTTAAATGACGTCATTGATGCGCGCCTTTTATGAATGAATTGCGTTCTTAGGATGACGTCACTTAACCGTTATGAATGAAGTTGTAAGTTCATACGCTACTATAAGAAAAAGTGTAATGAAAATATCAGCTTTCGTAATTTCTGTTCCGAAAATAATTGATATGTAATATGCAAGAAAAAGAATCAAACACTGGCTGTCGGTGCAGACGGGAATATCTAGCTCTCGGCTAACTGTTTAGCGGAAACTCGGCAGAGCCTCGTTACCGCCGTAAACAGTTACCCTCGAGCTAGATATTCCGGTCTGTACCGGCAGCCAGTGTAAAATTCTTATAATATCATCTGCAGACAAATTGCAGTTAAATGTCAGAAACTAATGTGAAATTAAAACAAGAGGGCCATGATGGCCCTGAAGTCGCTCACCTGTATATAGGCCCCCGGAGCGGGGCCAGTTTAAACCCCTGGGCTTATATGTGAACAAACTTGGTAGACACCAATTAGAAGATGATTCATGCTAAACATCTAAGGTCTAGCTGGTCAAGTATTTTCTTTACACATATAGTTAAAAACAATGACACACCTGGGGCAGGGCCAATTTTGACCCAAGGGCTTTTATTTAAAGAAATCTTTGTAGACACTTACTAGAAAATGTTTCATGCTTAATATCTAAACTCTAGCTATTCGGGTTTTTGCAAAGAAGATTTTTAAGTTTAATTTGCTATACACATATAAGGAAAATCAATATCCCCCGGGGCGGGGCCAATTTTGACCCCAGGGCTTTTATTTGAACAAACTGTGTGGACACTCACTAGAAGATGCTTCGTGCTTAATATCTAAACTCTAGCTATTCGGGTTTTTTCAAAAAGAATTTTTAAGTTTTTGCTATACACATATAAGGAAAATCAATGTCCTATTGGGCGGGGCCAATTTTGACCCCAGGGCTTTTATTTGAACAAACTTTGTACACACTCACAAGAAGATGCTTCGTGCTTAATATCTAAACTCTAGCTATTTGAGTTTTTTCAAAGAAGATTTTTTAAGTTTTTGTTATACACATATAAGGAAAATGAATGACCCTCGGGGCGGGGCCAATTTTGACCCCAGGGCTCTTATTTGAAAAAAAACTTGGTAGACACTCACTAGAAGATGTTTCATGCTTAGTATCTAAACTTTAGCTATTTGTTTTTTTTTTTTTCAAAGAAGATTTTTAAAGGTTTTGCTATACACATATAAGGAAAATCAATGACCCCCGGGGCGGGGCCAATTTTGACCCCAGGGCTCTTATTTGAACAAACTTGGTAGACATCCATTAGAACATGTTTCATGCCAAATATCTTAGCTCTAGCTCGCTCTTTGGGTTCTTTAAAATAAGATTTTTTAAGTTTTTACTAGTTGCATAAAGGGAAAATCAATGACCCCCGGGGCGGGGCCAATTTTGACCCCAGGGCTCTTATTTGAACAAACTTGGTAGACATCCATTAGAACATGTTTCATGCCAAATATCTTAGCTCTAGCTCTTTGGGTTCTTTAAAAGAAGATTTTTTAAGTTTTTACTAGTTGCATATAGGGAAAATCAATGACCCCCTGGGGCGGGGCCAATTTTGACCCCAGGGCTTTTATTTGAACAAACTTAGAAGACATCCCTTAGAAGATGTTTCAGGCTAAATATCTTAGCTCTAGCTCTTTGGGTTTTTTAGAAGAAGATATTTAAAGTTTTTTCTTTTGGTTGCCATGGCAACCAGAGTTCTGCATGGAATAAAATTCTTTGAACAATTTTCAAAGGTAACCACCAAAGGAACATTCCTGTGAAGTTTGGATGAAATTGGCTTAGTGGTTTATGAGGAGATGTCATTTAAAGTAAAAGTTTATGGACGACGGACGACGAACGGACGACGGACGGACGCCGGACGAAAAGCGATCACAAAAGCTCACCCTGTCACTTTGTGACAGGTGAGCTAAAAAAAACACCATACGTTCGGTTTTGCAGCGGCACGGCCTACCTCTTTGCTTTTTAACTCTTATATCACAGGTAACCTTTTAACGCAGCAGCACATTTGTTAACTTAAAATCGCGTTTATCGTTATGATATGAATGCAATGATTGCTCAACATTGCTAGTTCATTTAGTTTTATTATGTGTGATTGCCTCATTAACTTTTTCAGTTCATAGATACAGTACATCCTAAAATGTAATTTTAATTGTTCGAATGCTTGCTTTTTAGCTACCAAATTAGATCAATCTACCTACAAAATGTCATGTAGGTATCTCCTAATAGTTTTAGAGATTTATCCTTGACAAACTTCAAAGTGTAAAATGAACATATGATCCTTTAGCTATGCACTTTTACACAATGAGATCTATCTACCTACAAAGATTCAAATTGATATCTGTTATAGTTTTAGAGTCATGTCCTGGACAAGGTTCATAGTGTAAATAATGAACAAAGGGCAATAACTTCAAAATTAGGCATGGCGTAGTTTTGGTTCTTGTGCACTGCACCTCTACTTAACACCCCTTGTTGTTTCAAAGTTATGTCCAGGACAAGAATAGCAGACGACAGACGGACAGACGGACAAAGTGGCGACTACATGCTCACACTTCGGGAAGCATAATAAGTAGTCTTGTCATCTACTTCACTGCGCATGCACGCTGTTTGTTACTTTTCATTACCTACCAGCTCCTTTGTTATAAAAGCGGTCTAGTAAATCACTTACTGGCCGCTTAACAGGTCTGCAAATAAATACCGACCTGTTATTGTTCTATTGTTCTCTATACAAAAGAAAATATGTGAAGTCGGGAAACCCGTGCATTTAAGATTACATAATAATCACCGTAAATCTCCCTTAAAGCAGGTATGTTGAAATAATGTAGGAATTGTTAATAAATACTGCGAATTGTGCAAATTTATAGCTTCGAATAGAAAAAAGGACCGATATATATTTCTAAGTACATGTACATGTTCAACAATTTAAAAGAAATAAATTAGCAAATACGACTGCTAGGGCATTATAAGGCCGATATTAATGACTACAAAAACGCACATTTAGGCTTTCTTTATAACGTTTTGTGAGAGTAAAGTTTGTTTTGAGTATAATGAGTTTTATTTTATTTTCAAAATTGTTACATTATTTACATAAGAATTTGGATCATGTTAACCAGTACACGCCCGTTCTTCGCAAGTATACGGTTTTCGCCGTACACACATTCACACAGGGTCTTTCTATTTACATATTATCATATTTATGTCAACACATGTCAGCTTTATATATATATTATATATCATATTGATATTATGTACAGTATACATATTACAAAATAATTATCTTACCTTTGCCCTCTTTATATCATAGACTTAAAACAGAATCTCGGCAAGTCCTGCTTTCATTTTCTGTGACTCAACTCAACAAGTACATTTATATGACCTTTTAAGTCGGCTCGTGCACTAGTAGATATGCATTTGTCCGTAAAGCAATGAGGTAAAATTTAGACTTGATTTTGTTTATTTTTTTTTTGTTTTAACAAAATCACATTGTTTTCAAATTTTCTAATAAAAATAGCTTTTCTGATGTACAATTCATGTCACAGAGCTTTAAGGGATTAGAATAAACGTTTAACTGAAGTGATAGTGTCATGTTTGAAAATCATATTCTTTTTATAATTATCTAATTTTATCTACCTTATAAATAACGTGCAAATGAGCCAGTCTATAGTCGATCGTTCTAAAACTTAACCGTTGAGAGAGGTGACAACTGAGGCAGTGTTACTTACTTCATTTGCTTCGCCTCTGTTGAAGTTCGGCTCCGCCTTAATTTGTCATATTAAATTTGATATTATGCATTAGATATTTGTTAGCATTTAGTCTTCGTTGACGGGGTAGAAGGGAACCAGGACAACTTTGAGCAATATCACTTGTCGAAGTTACAAAGCCTAAACCACGCCCACTATCAGAGAGGCGGTTCTCACTCAACAGTTAAGAAAGTACAATAAACCGGTTACGCTACGGCCTGTAAGGGGAGATCACTGTAGAACAGATTGGTCCTCAAAATCATTCGAACATTATGCAATCAGTACCAATATTTAAATTGGTATATTCTCGGCATATATAATTTATTTTAAGTATACCAATCATTTCAATTTTATTTGTTATCCAATTTATTTTGATTCGACCAGACGTTTCAGTCTGTGTCGCAACAGACAAACATTGAAACATTTAAGAGTTTCAGACCTGGCATTATTTTGTGAATTTAGGATAAGGTTCTACTTTTTCACAAAAATATGCAACTTCATTATTAAATAACATGCACATACTAAGAACATGGAGAGAAATTGATTTGTGCTTATATTCAACTGTAATATAGAACGATTTTCGATGTTGATTGACTGTTCACATCATTTGGCGGCGTCTTTGAGGTGCAGCATCAACATTTAACTTGTTAAGTAATGAAACCTCACGAAAAAAATAACACCCGATATGTACACTAATTACAAGAGCGTAGCCGTTGGTATATTTGAATGGCTAAACGTGATAAAGTAAAATGTACATAAATAAAAGGTTTCTTTCCAATACTGAAATAAACAAGAGCTGTCACAGGAGACAGCCAAGCTCGGCTAATAAAATACTGGACGCAGTAAGGAGGACAAAACTATGAAAGAAAAATCAGTATAATTATGTATTAAGATATAGTAAAAAAATAACATTTGTTAAAATATATTCCAAGATCAAGGGAAATAATTCTAGAAATGGTAACGCTAAAGTTATGAACCTTGTCACACAACATATATGTAATGATAAGAAGTATATATTTGAAGTTTGAAGTAGATACCTTAAAAAGTAACAAAGTTATAATATTTCTTAAGAAAATCCTAAGTTCAAAGAGAGATAAATCTGTAAAAATTACTTCAAGAGTTATGAACATTATCACATAAAATACAATTGATTATAAGGAATAAGTATTGAAGTTTGAGTTAGATACCTTTAAAACTAAAAAAGTTATAGTAAACAAATAACATTTTTCTAGTAAAAAAATCTAAGTTGATGGGGAGATAATTCTTGCAATATTGGTGCTAGAGTTATGAACCTTGTCACATAAGATGTGGATGATGATAAGGTACATTTATTTGAAGTATAAAGTTGATCCCTTTAGAAATAATTAAAAAATAATATTTTTTAAAGAAAATTCTAAGTTCAAGTGGAGATAAATCTGAAAATATTGGTGCTAAAGTTATGAACCTTGTCAAATAAGATGGGGATGATGATAAGGTACATATATTTGAAGAATGAGGTTGATCCCTTAAGAAATAAAGAAGTAACAGTAAACAATAGTATTTTTTAAGGAAAATTCTAAGTTCAAGGGGAGATAAATCTGAAAATATTGGTGCTAGAGTTATGAACCTTGTCACATAAGATGAGGATGATGATAAGATACATATATTTTAAGTATGAGGTTCATCCCTTAAGAAATAAAGAAGTAATAGTAAAAAATAGTATTTTTTAAGGAAAATTCTAAGTTCAAGGGGAGATAAATCTGAAAATATTGGTGCTAGAGTTATGAACCTTGTCACATAAGATGGGGTTGATGATAAGGAGCATATATTTGAAGTTTGAAGTTGATACCTTAAGAAATGACAAAGTTATAGTGAAAATTATTTTACTGCACCAAAACTTTAATCTGAAATCTGGATGCGGACGCGGACGCCGGGGCGAGTAGGACAGCTCTCCATATACTTCGTATAGTCGAGCTTAAAATGTTTGGATTGAAAAACAAAAGAGCATGTAGGTAAGCTAGTTGCCGCACTTTGAATAGGTCTGCATAGTATTTACAGACCCGGGTGGCCTTTTGAAGACCTCGATCGCTACGCTCTCTCAGTCTTCAAATCGCCACCCGTGTCTGTACCCATAATTTTCAACTAAATATTAGATTAAGAAATCGAATCGAATACACGCATGCACAACGGATAGGCGCCCAGGAGTAATACAATATGTCTCCAATGCTACTTTTCGTAAATTTTCGGATGAAAACCCTGAACACAAAGGAATGCATACAAAGGTTCTAATCGCCTAAAATATGTTTAACTTTGTTATTAATGTGATATTATATCAATACATTGAAACAAGAGGGCCATGATGGTCCTGAGTCGCTCACAAGAAACAACTGCTTTTCAGTGTTGGAAATTATCCATTGTCAATATTTTCTTATAATAAATTTGAGCATAGAATGTGTTTAAACAATAATTTGAAGAAATGACATGACCTAGGGTATTTAAGCTTTAGCTTAAACGGAGCCAATCAAATTATATGAGCAAACTTGATAAAAGACTACCTAAGAATGCTACAAAGTTTGGTGATCATCTATCAACTATTTCAGTAGGAAATAATGTTCAAAGATTTTTCAATTTTTGGCTTTAGTGGCCCCTAAAAGGGGCCCCTCAAATTAATATTAGCAAACTTGATAAAAGACTACCCAAGAATGCTACAGACAAATTTTGGTGATCATTCATCAATTAGTTCTGTAGAAATAGATGTTTAAAGGTATTTGTAATTTAAGCTTAAGCTGCCCCTTAAAGGGACCAATCAAATTTTAATATGAGCAAACTTGATAAAAAAATAACCAAGAATGCTACAGACAAAATTTGGTGATCATCCATCAATTAGTTCTGTAGAAATAGACGTCTAAAGGTATTTCTATTTTTAGCTTTAGCGGCCCCTAAAAGGGGCCAATCAAATTAATATGAGCAAACTTGATGAAAGACTACCCAAGAATGCTACAGACAAAGTTTGGTGATCATCCATATATTAGTTCTGTAGAAATAGACATTTAAAGGTATTTCTATGTTTAGCTTTAGCGGCCTTTAAAAGGCGCCAATCAAATAAATATGAGCAAACTTAAAACAAGTCTACCATAGAATGCTACAGACAAATTTTGGTGATTATTTATCAATTAGTTCTGTAGAAGAAGACGTTTAAAGGTTTTTATATTTTTAGCCCTAGAGACCCCTAAAAGGGGCCAATCAAATTAATATGAGCAAACTTGATAAAAGACGACCCAAGAATGCTACAGACTAAGTTTGGTGATCATTTATTAATTAGTTCTGTAGAAGGAGATATTTAAAGGTTTTCTATTTTTAGCCCTAGAGACCCCTAAAAGGGGCCAATCAAATTAATTTGAGCAAAGTTGATTAAAGACTACCTATCAGAACGCTACAGACAAAGTTTGGTTCTATTTTTAACCCTAGAGACCCCTAAAAGGGCTGATCACTTTCATATGAGCAAACTTAATTAACAAAAGACTACCCAAGAATGCTACTGACAAAGTTTTGTGATCATCCATCAATCAGTTCTGTAGTAGAAGGTGTTTAAAGGTTTTTCTATTTTTAGCTCTGTTGACCCCTAAAAGGGGCCAACTGAAATGACATGAGCAACTTCAAGTGTGATTGTCAAAAGGATGCTACATCAGTTTCAGAGAAGAAGACGATTGTTGACGCATGTCGACGACGACGGACGCCGGAGCATTCCACCCTTTGATACTAATAGCTCACCCTGAACCTTCGGTTCTGGTGAGCTAAATAAAAATATAAAAAAATATTTCTTTTTACATTTTTTTCTATTTTACTTTTTAATGTATGGATATGATATTACATGAATTACATGATTAAACATAATTTAGGTATAATCAATGCGACTAGCACCTTTTGATGAATACACAAAACAGATAAACAATATTTGGCTTAACCTAGCCTATTAAACCTAAACTAAGTAAATGCTTAGTTGTTGACATTATATTGTGTAAATGTCTGCCTTTAAATTATTAAATTTATAGATATAAAAGTAAACAGTACAAATCTATAACGAAAAAGCCCTTGTTTACCTGCGTTGAGAATCCTCTATTAATAAAACTGGAATAACCGTTCTTGTTTTAAATTTAGTATCAAATATATTAATATATTTATATGGGAAGCCAATTTATCACACACATTAAATCTTATTGCCTATATGTATTGCCAATTTAACATAATCAACCTTGAATAACTGACTTTAAAAAAGTGCGTATTTTGTCTTAATATTGGCTAAAATCCATATCGACTGTAAATTATAATGAGTACAGTGAGTTATTACAAAAGTGCAACAATGTCTGTAAAGTTTTACCTTTATCAAATTTGGAAAAATGTCATCCTCCAAAGTTCAATGTTCAAAATACTTAAGTTTCCGGACTAATCAAAACTGAAACAGAAAATAAAAAGTATTTTCATTGCTATTAGGTCATCTGCTTCATTGCGCATGCACGGTTTTTGTTACGTTTCAATAGTTTTTAATGACAAAAGGCAAAGATAGCTCTGGATCGCTCACCTAAGATATATTACTGGAAAATTTAAAAATTTCAGTAATGAGGTCACATTAGGTTTGTCATTTTTTAACCAATGCATTATATTTTTTTTAAATATTTATAGATGTCTGCTTTTAAATGCTTCGTGAAAAATACTTAAACTCTTGGTATTTAATTTTACATAAGAAACCCTAATTAAATATGTTTTACTATTTAAGTCTATAAAAAAAACTTACAGTCTGGGCAAAAACCAATTTTGACCTTAGCGGCATGACTTACACAGCACAAAGTGATACTTCATGCAAAATATCTAAACTCAGGGTATTGAGTCAAAAGTGTATGTAAACTGAGTGACCCTAGGGCATTGACATTTTGACCTCAGTGGATTGACTTAAAACAATTTTTGGTAGAAATCCACTAGGCAATGCTACATGCCAAATATCTCATATCTGTGCATTGTTGTTTCACAAAAGAAGACTTAAATGTATTTTTTATAATAAACTTTGTTACCCCGAGGCGAAATTATTTTTTCCCAAGGGGTATACTATATATAACTTGTAGGTCAGATCCTGCTTCCAAACATGATACGCCTCAGTAAACACTCTATCAAAAATACTTTAAAATTTAAACACGAATTGGACATCTTTAACAACGAAAAAATGGCTTTCAAACCATTTTTACATAAATGAAAAAATACCGTATACAATCAAGTCTCAATAAAGAAAAGATTGCAGACTACTAATTCCCAAAACTAATTAAACCTTAAAAGTTTTATTATCAGTAATCGAGAGGGAGTCAACGACTTTTAGTTTTTCATTGTTAATGAATTTATCGGTTACGGCAATCAAGTTGGCATCATACATAAATGTTCATGTCCTTCAATTAATCATCAGCAGCATTGTTTTCCTACGAGTTTGTTCTGAGAACTGTATTAACCCTTTACCCCATATAGACGTGTTTTGACGGTTTTTGCCCCCCCCCCCTTCAGGCGGCCTCAAACAGTAAAAAAGTGCCGTATTTAGGCCCCAAACACTGTTTTTCGTTTGAGAAATGCTGATTAAAAAAGTGATCACTCTTTTGGCGATTCCCCTATCAAAAATGTACATTAAGGGGTTGCCAGAAGGGGGATGTACCTCCTTCTGGTTTTGGGGTTTGAAATAGAGCGGCAGTCCCCCTCTTCGCCAAGAATTTTTTTGACGTGTGACAGGCTAAATATGGCCTCAGATCAATCGTAAGGTAACGTGTAACCATCACTGTAAAGCCTTTTCCATTGAGAAGTTGCAGCACTTTGAAATTAGTTTTGATGGAAAAAAACAATGCAAAATAGTGATTTTTGGCAATTTTGAGACGCCCCCGTTGTCATGGTAACAGAAAATTTAAGACTGAGCATGCTGTTACAGAGGATATGGTTCAATCAACATTTGTGCCAAGTTTGATTATGATTAGTATTGAAGCATTTTTCATAGTTTAATAGCAGTTTAAACTTGTAACAGGAGGCTTTTCAATGAAAACGGTCATTTCTTACAATATGCTTATGAAGTAAAGGGATAGGTCTTTATAACCATATACTTTAAAGATACATTTGACCATGTAAAAAAATCCAAATTCTATACCCCTACTCCTTGTAATAACCATATTATTTAATTTATTTTAGGAATTTTGGTAAGCTTAACTTGTTTGAGTTTTGTATTTTCTGTTTGCGGATCAGGAAATATAATGCTGGAACAGCGCTTCCCAACGAACCAAACAACACAAAGTAGTTCTCAAAACAGCTTAAAACTATTGATGTGAAAGAAAGACATAGTTTTATTTTGATACAAGAATCCAACGAATTATAACGCATTTAAAGTTTGAAAGTAACTTTGGCTTATAGAATTGTCAATGATGAATATTTTTTAATCAATGAAAATTACTCGTCTATTTCCGTAAAGCTTCTGACTAGTGTGATCGCCTAAATGAACATTTGATTTAGACTTTTTGAAAAATAAAGTAAGTTATAAATAATATGTACAAAAAACATTAAATCATTTATTTCGCACAATTGATCTGTATCGGCGTCGTACATCTCCGAAATAAGGGTAAAACATGGTGAAAATTTGTCTCCAGTCCTATTTTCCATGTACTTATCTGACCTCCAAACTTATTTACAGAATAGTGGATTACGGCGATCTTACTTTATGGCTTAAATATGGAACACCTGGACTGTCTTATATTAAGAATGAATGATATATCTGGTTAAATGTCGTTCTGTTGAGTCTGCTTGGTGGAAATCCCAATGTGCTCAGTTATTGAAGTGTTATGTTGTGTGTTGATTACATTTTTCTTCAGCTAAGTTAATGTAGTGACGGATGCATTAGTCGTTATGTTCAGTTCTTAAAACAAACAGGCATACGTACCAAAATTATGTTGAGTGAAAAAGATATAATGTGAGGTGTAACAGTTATTATGTTCGGTTACAATAATGTTGTTTGGTGCTCTTCTCATTACGTTCAGCCATGAAAATAAACAGTTGAGTGGTACTATCATTTTGTTTAGCTGAAGCAGTGTATTATTGGGTGATTCTTTCAATATTTCTAGTTGCATGTGTTCTTTATTCATTATGTTCAGTCGTGAAATAGTACTGTTATATGGTACTATCATTATCTTGTGTGCTGATTATATCTTCTTCAATCAGTTTCAATGTGTTGTTCGGTACAAACGTCGTTATGTTCAGTAATTATTATTTTATGATTACTGTAATAATTGGCATCTAGAGGTGATCTTAAAGAAAACAAAAGAAGTTATTTTTGGTGCTCGATAAACTATGAATTTTAGATTTTATTTTGGAGATGAAAATATTGAGCGATCCAATTCTTACCATTACTTAGGTGTGACCGAAATACCGTATGCGTTCTGTGTATTCATACTATTGTGTCCGCGGTCCTTATCCGTACACTGACAGAAAGGGCCGAACAGTTGCGATTGCAGAAAAGCATCGTATGCTCTATTTATAGTTCCTATTACAAGTCCAGTCAGTTATATATCAAGTCAAAGGAAACTACATCTGATTGGTGCTGTTTAAAAACGTTATCGATTATGAACGGACTGAGTCTTTTGATTTAAACATTACACAATTCATTTATCCACAGGTCGGCATCATGTTAGTACATATCTCAGCAGCATGGTTTCCTATGTTTTTTTTTTTGAGAACTGTACTAATTTGTTTTACAAGATATATAAAATATACATCTATAATTTAAAGATACATGTAAATCTTTTTGCCAGCTTCTATACCTGGCGTCCTATTATAACCATATTTTATAAATTTAGTATTGCACTAGAAGGAATTTCAAATGTTAAGCTTAACTTGTACTTTTCATTATGTTTGAAGAGAAAGAAAACGCAATTGTTTACCTGTTGATATAGTCCAACTTACTGTTGAGATAGTGTGGGCAATATCTTGCATCTATTAATAAAAGTGGAATAACCGCCCTTGTTCTAAATTTAGTATCAATTTAATTATATCTTTATATGGGAAGCCAATTTCTCTGAGAATATGCATATTGCTACTGCAGAACAGAATCAACCTTTAATCACTTTGAAAAAGTTTTACATTTTGGCAAACCCCATTAACTTTAAATTATAAAAGAGTTATTAAAAGAGCAAAAAAATGTATTAATTAACAATGAGTTATGTCTAATTTTTTCACAGTCTTGAATAAATGTAGATCTGCAGGAAATGTTATAATTACATTGTAAATGATTGCATTTGAACTGGGGGCATTTGTTTCACATTAAGCATCATATCATATAGAACAAGCTGCATAAATCCTGCATGATTATTTTTGTTTAGGAATTTGGTTCCTGATCCTAAGTTAGATTTTTTAATTCAACTTGTAATGTCTGAACTAACAGTTTTGCTTTAACATGAAATGATTTATGGGATATTTGTCATTCTGATTTCATGACAACATAATAAGACTTGCAGCCTTTCTTTAAATGCTTTTAGATGTTAACCTATTTGTTTTTGAATTTTGCAAAATGAAAGCATTGATGCAAAATTATATCAACCCTTAGCCTGTAGAGTTTCTTAATGGACATGTCTGGCTTTCATATTTTAAAGTGGTTATTATCATTTTGGGTACATTATACATCAGGATGAAAAGTTAAAGTTAGTGAGACAACAGTGTGGAGCCTGCTCAGTCTCAATAGCCTGGCTGTATACTGCTGGCAAAGGCTAATCACTTGGTTTCAGCAGTGTAAGCGTTAAATGCTGGCCTGGTATCAAAGTTTTAGTAGGCATTATGTCGGAAAAGTTCAATGGCTCTGACAATTTAAAGTCATTCTTAAATTTTGTGTTCTAAGACTTAAAGCAGCATGCCTCCAGGTTCATGCTAATTTTCATTAAAATTTTCAAAATGTATTAAAAAATATTAAAATATTGTGAAGTGAACAAAGAAAGTAATTTACACATTGCAAATGGCACTTACATTCCACGTAAATAACCAAAAACAAGTGAAATATGCAAAAATAGTCCTTATAAGTCACGCTGAGGGAATATGGTGATTAATCATGGAAAATCAAAAAGTATCTTTTTACTTTTCTAAAATTCTAAGTACAGTTTATTTTTATTCATCTGCAGGCATGCAGTTTTAAAACTTATTGAACATTTTCTTTGATAAGCTGGTATAGCTTATTTACAATCAAGCATGAAAATAGCCAATTACACTGTCCTAAGGATATTGCTAAATTACGACCAAATAATATGACCTATTTTGAGTTTTAGCCTCATAAACCAGATACTGTTCCGGCCTTCTTTTGGCAATTGTCAACATATTTATATATATATATAATTAGCTCACCTGTCACAAAGTGACATGATGAGCTTTATTGGTTGCTTTACATCGGGCTGTCGTCCG